CTGCCATCTTTCCCCATAATTAATTGAGTAAATTGATTCAATAGAAAACTTACTATCCTGATGACTAGCAAGTTCTCCATCAATTCCTTAAGAAGGAGAAGATTAAAAATCTTTTAACTGTCAGTGCTGTCCTTGGGGGAAGTTGATTTAGATAGATATTGGAGAAAAGATACTGCTCTGTTCAGCAAATCTTTGCATTGTGCGGTTTTAGGTGCTCTCTGAGCCTGGTTGTTTTCTTGCACTGATGATGACTACTCAGACGGCTAATAAAATGGCTACCAAGCAACCAAGCTCAGGGAGAGCTCCAAGAACCCCATGGGTTCAACTCTGAGCTACAAATATTGTCTTCTATTGGTAATCATTGTATTTTTAAAACATGTTTTGTTTTGAATTGAAGGGAGGCTCTGAATGAAAACACTGTGGGCTGAACGATGGGTGATAAATGATGATGGGTGGACTTTGTCAAAGGTAAAAAAAATTCAATATGACCTATATGCTGTTAGAAAGCAACATCGCAGCCTGGAAGTTCAGCTGCAATGTAAGTTCACTATTCCACTAATTTGCACTAACTTGAAGAGGAAGGCAAGACTTTTCTTATAATGGAGAAGAAGTCCACAGAAAAGAATGACTTCCGTTAAACTTTTTTACACAAATTAACCAGGAAAGCTTGAGAATACAAATGGGTTTCTCTTGATCCGCAGAGTCGATGCAAAAGATCACAGACAGAAGTCAGGCTTTATTCATATCCTGTGAAACAGCATCATCTGGTGTCTCATACTATCTATTGCATCTTCCAGATCTGTTCCTTGTAAAGAATAAACAATGATTGTAAGAACAGACTGCACTAGTTTGGTTGATGTCAGTATACAATTTAAGTCATTTCTAGTTCATTATACTGCTCTGGACTGGGTTGGAGATCATCCATTATTAGAATTATATTTTTTTTTGTAATCAAGGATATTATTCTGAACACTCAATTGATCATTCTTACTATATAAGATCATTCTTACTATATATTATACTAACATTGTTACTTCACAAGCACAATCCTAGTTTTCTAATGGTTAAAGATTGACAAAATCTGGTACATAAATGCTGTTCTGTAATTCCACATGTACCTATCCACCATTTACCTGCAATGTAGATGAAGTATCATTTCTTTGAAAATATTTCAAATATTTGTGTAACCTCTGCAATCTTACAAGGTGAAAATCCAGAAATACATATTATGGAAGTCACTGGGCTATATTTCTTAGATAGGACCGAATCTTTAAGAAAAACTAATTCTTGTCCTTCCTTCCTTCCTTCCTTCCTTCCTTCCTTCCTTCCTTCCTTCCTTCCTTCCTTCCTTCCTTCCTTCCTTCCTTCCTTCCTTCCTCACTCCCTCCCTTCCTTCCTTCCTTCCTTCCTCCCTCCCTCCTTCCCTTCCCTTCCCTTCCCTTCCCTTCCCAATCATACCTTATGTGCACAAAGTTAATTTTGAACTACCCATTAAAGTACTTTATACCTATAGATTCTCTTTAATTGTTCTGTGGGACCTAGCAATCCGGCAGAAAAGAAGAAATTTGTTGTGGTGAAGTGGGAGATATAACAACTAAGTAGAATTTTGTTTTAAAACACCAAAAATCCAGGTGAATAATATGGGAAAAAAAATCAAAATTTTAAAGAGTAGTTTACCTTGGTGCCAGTGGAAAAATAGAGGCCAATTATTAGTTTTTCAAGATTTCATTTCAGACAAAATTGGTGCAATTCAGAACAGGGAAAAGAGCCTTTGTTAATGCTTCATTTGTGCTTTTCACAGTTATATTTTGTTAGAGGGAATGAATGAGAACATCCAGGTAGGCAGGTTGGTTCAGACCAGAGCAGAGTTAATATCAGATTGAACTAAGGATTCTTGCAAGGTATGCTGGGAAGCTTAAATACAGATATCATGATTGGACCCTCACTTTATGGCATATATACTGTAGGTGGTCGATCGAGTAACAACAGATCCCCCCCCTCCCCACCTGTAATTGGATTTTAATGAAACAAGAGTTTTGGGTTCATTGTAGATTAGGGACACCAGATCTCAGCTGCAAAAATCCAGATGCTTACTAAATAACTGCAGTGAATTAGATTTTTGTGTTACTTCTTATATGCATCAAAATGAAAAGTTATCCAGGCTATGGATAAGGAAATTCATGTTAAAAAACAGATTTGAATACCTGTCATGCATAAGATCATTGTTGTTGTTTTTTAAAAAAAAGAATGCCTTCCTGCTGTTTCATAGCTATGCTCTCACAAAGTGGTGTACAAGCAAGGAGGCATAACAACCTCCATTTGACACACAAGCTAATTATAAAATCAACCAGGGCAGTTTTACAAAGAAAGGCCTTTATTAGTTGATTAAGGCATGCATAAAAGAGGCTTGGCGCAATTTGCAGGACCCAGAAGGCGTTATGTTCTGTGCATACCAGTCAATCTTAAGAGTCCCCATGTAAGAAGGATTATGCTTAAGAGTAACAATAATGATTGTCTTCAAATAAGACACCTCACTCATATATCATGAAGGGGAAATCAGATATCAGAAAGATGACGCATTAGGTTTTTTTTTTTAAGTGAGACCTAATCTTGCCTCTATTGAAGTTTAATAATCAAGGTTTTAATTCAGTATATTTAACAGAAGTCAAACTATTAATTTCATTATATCACTGATTATTACACACTGTAAGAAAATGTCTTTCCTAAAGTGTTAAGTTTTTGCCAACAACGTTGATATGAATCTTCTGTTTTGAGAAAATAATTGTGCCCTTCCTTAAGAGGCTGTCCTTGGACCCATTACTTTCAGAGAGTTATTTTCCTGTCTTCCTTTTTCCTTTTTCAGGAAACATTGTTGTAGAGGTGGCCGCTCTTGTACTCGACGGTCCTTCTTCACTTGTAGCTCCTGCTTGATATGCAGGTGGCCAGGAAATCCTTTGCCCAGTTTTGTCCTTTCCTATATTGGAAGACCCTTGAGATAATCACTCACATCCTGGGAATCTCATGGCTGGATTACTGTAATGCCCTATACATGGGACTGCCCTTGAAGATAGCCTCTCCTGAAGGGTATCTGCTTGTCCCATTATGGTAGATAGGTGGGCATGCTCCAGGTCCCTTCCTAACATCTTGCCATCTACTGCGATCTTGGAAATGTGCCTTTTCAGTGGCTCCCCTATCTTATGAAACATCCAGTAGGCACCCAATCTTCTAGCCTTCCCATACCCCAGGCATTGGGATAGAGTGATGGGGCCCTGTTGGACAGCCGTTGGAGCATTCTGGGAGGACTGTTGAGGCACTGGATTTTTAATTTACGGTTTTCATAGTATTATTGTGGTTGTGAGCTGCCCAGACTTGTGATCTAAGATGAAAAGCTGTACAAATCTTATAAATAAATAAATGTGGAAGTTTCAGCTGGTCCAGAATGCAGCAGCATGGGCAGTGATGATCATGGCTGGGTTACACCTATGTCACCTGCCTGCTTTGAGAACTGCAATGGCAGTTTGTTTCTGGATGCTATTCAAGGTCCTGTTATGACTTATAAAGCTCTACATGGTAGAGGACCTGGTTACTTAAGGGACTGCTTATTTCCCATGATATCAGCCTGGCTGGTTCAATACATCAGGGCTGGCATGCTCCTGGTGCCTCCAATCAATACACTTCCATGTATTGGGCTCCTGGAAATATGCTTTTCTCTGTTGCAGGGCCTATCCTCTGGAATGAGGTAGTGCCTGAATTCTATGAAGACCTGGCTGTTCTCCCAGGCTTTGGCCTAGAATGGTTGGAAAACTCCTCTCCCCCCTCCCCCGCCATGTCTGTGTGTAAATCAGTGGTGGGATTCAACTTTTTTTACTACCGGTTCTGTGGGCATTGCTTGGTGGGCATGGCAGGGGAAGGATACTGTAAAATCTCCAGTCAGAAAGGGTATTTGCCAGTTCTCTGAACTACTCGAAATTTCCACTACCGGTTCTCCAGAACTGGTCAGAAGCTAGTGAATACCACCTCTGGTGTGTGTGTGTGACGTGTTTGTTTGGTTAACTAGTTCTGCCAACTGATTATTACTATAGTTACAGGCTTGTTTACCTTCATGAGCTGCCAAGATTTGCTTGGAGTCAGGGGTGTCCAAGCTGAATATATTTGTCTGTCCATCCATCCATCATCTCTCTCTCTCTCCTTCCCTTCCCTCCATCATCTGTCTGTCTGTCTTTCTAACTGTCTATCTACCGTACCTACCTACCATACCTACCTACTTGCCCAGGCAAGTTAATTTTCAAAGGAGGGGACTACCAGAAATCCGTGCCCCAGGTGAGTAAGCCCAATTTCCACTTGCCTGATTTCATTTACCTAGCCTAGTACGAAGAGAAAACTTGTCAAAGTGAGTGGAACTTGTCCAATGAGGTGGTCATATCAAGAGGAGGACAGGCTCAAGAAACTTTTCGGCTTGAGGCAAAGGAAGGTCAACTGCCCTGCTGACAGATTGTCCCTCAGAAATGGCAACTGAATACCTACAATGGTCATACAGCTTATAGGAAAAAAAGGTCCGATAGTATTTTTCAGTAAAGGGAAATAACACTAATTTTACAAGTCAGTTACTGGGCATTAGTGATTAAATATGTAATTTTTAGAAGGATGCATATATTTTCATATATTTTGAATCTTGTTATTCAAAGCAGTCCTCTTCCTTTGCAAGTAACGCTCTGCAAAGCTCGGAAATGCCGAATGAATTAAAGGTATGAGGCATAAAGTACAGCTAAACCTAGACACCGACTGCATTCGCTATACTTCTCCACAGCCTTCTGATGCGAAGGAGGAATTTAAAATTGTCGCCTTAGAGCTCTTCCACCACTAGGAGTAGTCGTGGCCGAGTGGTTAAGGCGATGGACTAGAAATCCATTGGGGTCTCCCCGCGCAGGTTCGAATCCTGCCGACTACGGGCGTTCCCTTTTAAAAATCCGGCCCAACTTTTTATAAACTTGGCTGGCCGAAACTCAGCAGGCAGAAAGAAAGCAGGGCCGCGGAATCAAACCCGGGGATTGTGCAAACCAATAAGTTCGGGGATAATAAAGAAAAGACGGAAGGGATCGCGTGTCATTTCTTCCGGGATCTTGCAACAGAAGCAAGCTGCGAAAGCCAGAGCCGGGGGAAACCGTGCGCTTTTACCCGGGACACCATGCAACAGAGCCCCGGGCCTACCGTGTTCGTCACTACGAGGTAAAAATCGAAGGCAGAGCGGGGCGTCGTCGTTAACGCAGCGCACCCGGCTACAGTATCGCCTTCCCCGCTCCCGACGCTTTTCTGCAGGGTTTCTCCGGGGCGGGGGAGGCAGGGAAGGCAGAGAGGGAGACAAGCAACTTGGGAAGCCCTCCTCGACCAACTCGGGACCTCCTTTGCCTATCAGATGCGGCCTGGTTTTCTGCCCCTGGGAACAGCTGACTGAAGCCCAGAGAGGCAGGCTCGGCGGAGTTGAGAAGGACCAACCCGCCCTTCCCTTCACCGGCCCTACTTTTCTGACCCAAGGCAGGAAACCTCTCCTTGCCCGCCCCCCTCATTGCGCTCCTTTCTCCCGCGGCGGGCTTGCCTCCCTTTGCTTTGGGTTTTAAAGTTACTTTTTCGCCGCTAGGAAGAGCTGCTGCCGCGTCTTTTTTTCTCTCTCTCTCCTCCTCCCCTCAAAAGTTTCCCTTTCCCTCAGATTCTTTGCCTCTCCCATTAAAGTCGGCTTGGTTAAACCCGCTGAGGGATGTTTTTCTACCTATAAAATGCCCGTGCCGATCCCCCCCATCCCAAATTTACATTTACATTTGCCTCTTTCTTTTGGAAGGAAAAAGAAAAAAGCAAAAAGCAAGGAAGACAAATTTTTGCTGCAGTCCAGGTAGTCCTCGACTTATGACAGTTCATTTACTGACGGTTGGAAGTGACAAGAGCACTGGAAAAAGTGACTCATGACCGTTTTTTTTTTTACACTTAACGACTGTTGCGGTATCCCCATGGTCACATGATTAAAAATTCAGACGCTTGGCAACTGGCTCATGTTTATGACCGTCGGTGGCAGGGGTCGTGCCGTCAGCTTTTGCGACCGCCTGACAAGCCAATGGGGAAGCCGGGTTCACTCCACCACCGTGGGACTCACTTAACAATGGCAAGGATTCACTTAACAGCCGTGCCAAGAAAAGTCATCAAATGGGGAGGGGGGGGGCAGGACTCACTTAGCACATGTTTCACTTAGCAACATACATTTGGGGCCCAATTGTGGTCGTAAGTCGAGGACTCCCTGTGTTTTCTTTCTTTCTGAAAAGTCTTAAACTTAAAATTCACGTGGATGCTCCTAAACATATCGCCGGGCTCCAAAGGGGTTGGCTCACTCGCTTTTGGTCCCCCAGGTTACTGTTTAAAAAGCGCAAGGCCAGAAAAAGAGATAAGTAAGCAGCTCTAGGTTTTGACGTTTTTATGCTGCCTTTCTTTGCCTCTCAACTTAAAAGGCTCGTTCGTATGAAGTCCAAAGTAGTGTTGTAAAGGTGTTGCTAAAATTCAACTCATTACTCTTTTTTTTTTTGACATCTTTCTAGCTGTTTCTTTATTGTGCTTCCCACCCCCCCCCGCCCCCCCAAAAATCTGCCCTGAAAGTGCCTGTTGAGGTCCTAGCAAGCTCAAAAGACCATTTCTTTTAAGGAAACACTCTGGTTGCTGAACTACAGTTCCCAGCATCCCTCACCATTGCACTGGATGATGGGGATTCAGGCTCTGCAGTATTTATAGGGTCATGATTTCTCCCCTTTGCAGCTGTGAGTTACTTCATTCCTTGAGTCCAACGACTTCCTTTATATTATTGCAAACTTATACATCATATATGGAAGCCAACTTGGTCTGGTAAAGCCAGGGTAGCCAAGCACCAGGCTATAGAAAGCAGGGGGCTGTGAATTTTAGTCCTGCCTTAGGCATGAATGCCAGCTGGATGACCTTGGGCCAGTCATGCACACTCAGTCCAAATCACCTCACAAGGTTGTTGTAGGGAAAATAGGTGGAAGGAGTATATTAGGTATTTTTGCAACCTTGAGTTATTTATAAAAATAGGATATAAATAAACCTGTTTACCTAATGCTGATATTTATGTATACCATATCTGCATTGCTTATTGGCAAAAATGAATAGGAAATTTGGATTAAGCTTGGGTTAATTCACAAGGATCCCTTCCTCGTAGCTATTTAAACTATACTGCCCTCAATATTTGCTAGAGAGAACTTCTGCTTGCAGTCTCCCATGGGGAGAAAGAAAGAAAAAAGGGAATGGAAAATACAGATAACTTGTTTACAAGTATGGTTAGGCTTAAGGTGAAGATGCCCTCAGGTCAAACTTTAAGGTGACGTAAACAGACTAATTAACATTGCCAGTTTTCTTGGCAACAGCATGGACAAAAATTAGCCACTGCATTTTCTGGGATGTTTTTCTACTTCCATCCTAGTACTAACCAGGTTGGTACGAAAGGGGCTTAGTTGTGAAATAATGTACTGGTGTACTAAAACATGCAGGTGTTGTGCAAAAACAGAATTTCACAGTCCAAATGACAACACATCATGCAGGAGCTGTTCTGCATCACAAGATAGGTGTATGTGGAGGGATGAAGGTTCTTGGAGGCAAGCACATAGTTTGTGCTTGAGAAGTGATTTAAGAAAGTAACATTAGTTACTGATTCCCAGTTCCTTATTTAATGAATGTTTAGAAGGGAGTCAGTTTATGTAGCTCTTCAGCCCAAAAGTAAGCCTTGGCCTGTCTTGCATAATAACAGATTTATGGTTGTTGGGTTATCCTTTATAAGTTCTAAGATAATTATTTCTATTAAAAAACTAAATCATTCAATATATTATTTCAACGATCATAATAAATGCATACATTTGGATGAAATAGTTCTAAATCATTTCTGTCTTAACAACCTTATATTAATAATAAATATTAAGAAATCTGGGGATTGGGCTATGCACTCAAAACAGCCACTGAAGTCTACATTCTCATACCACACTTGCATAAAATTGACCAAATATATCTCAACTTTGACTCCTCAGTTGGGAGGGCCATAGGATCCTTCCTTCCTTCCTTCCTTCCTTCCTTCCTTCCTTCCTTC